AGGCCTCTAGTGTGTGTGTGTGTGTGTGTGTGTGTGTGTGTGTGTGTGTATACAAAAAAATCATATGGAGTAGATGTGGGGTAGACTTAGAAAATATGGGAAAATGTTATCCTTTGTGAATCTAGGTGGAGAGTACCTTGGAGTTTATCTTCCAAGCGTGCAATTTTTCTGTATAAATTTTTAAAAATTTTTAGAGAAAATATATCCCTTTAGTTCAATGATTCTCTGACCTAGTAGCACATTAGAGTCACATGAGAGCCTTTAGAAACTATAAATCTTCTGCTGGAGATTTTGCTTTAATGGTCTTGGATGAGGTCCAAGCACCTGAATTTCTTTGAAATCTTTCTGGAGAAATCTTTTTTCTTTTTGTACTTCTTTTGCTTCCTTTCAAACATCTTGCAAGAGTCCAGGCATAAAACAAGCCCTGCCCTGGCCATTTAGCTCAGTTGGTTGACTGTCATTCCTTGCATTGAGAGGGTGCTGGTTCAATTCCCAGTCAGGGCACATGCCAGGATCATGGACAAAGTGAATTTATTTTTAAAAAGTAATTTCTTAAATGTAATCATAATCATTTCATGGCTGTTTACCCAAATTAGCAACTATAAATTATGTGCCAACAATACATGACTATTACCTGTAATATGTGTGTATCTTTCCCATTATGACAGATAGGAGGCTTTCACCCTGCACAAGAACTGTGCTAATTGTAATTTTAGATGGCTAGTGCTTTAGGTCTTAAATACCCATTCCCCTCCCCTAAAACAACCCTGTCAGATGTAGAGAATGAAGGCCAGTTATATGAGACTCCCAAGGAAAGGCAATAGAGATGGTTCATCAAAAGTACTGCTAATATCAATGCTACTAAGCACTTTAGACTTAAAAAAAGGATCAAGCTGGAGGATAAGTATATTAGAGAGTACAAGATGAAAAACACTGATATTTAAATTATAGACAAGAATGATGAAAAGGACATAGCAGATGGAAATGCTTAAATGTATTTGAATACAGAAAACAAGTGCCTCATCTATATATATAAAAGCCTAAGTAACCGTCTGACTGTTTGACTAGTAGCTATGATGCTACTGACCACCAAGGGGTCACTCAATGCACAGGCATGGGAACATGGAACAGACTGATGAATCTCAGAGGGAAATGTGTGTGTGGCGGGGAAGCGACGGTTCCACCATTCAACTGTTCCACCATTCAACTGGTAGCTATGATGCACACTGACCAGCAGGGGGCAGACACTCAATGCACAGGCTTGGAAATATGGAACAGACTGTTAAATCTCTGAGAGAAGTAGGGAGGGCAGGAAGATATTAACCAAAGATCTTATATGCATACTAGAGGACCAGTTCACGGATTCATGCACTGGTGAGGTCCGTTGGCCTGTCCTGCGGGGATCAGATCAAAACAGGCAGTCCAACATCCCCTGAGGGGGCATTATGAGAGGGCACAGGACAGACCAAGAGACCCCACCAGTGCATGAATCTATGCACCCGGCCTCTAGTAGATAGATAAAGCAAGAAAAGGGCCTGCAAAAGAGTCAGAGATTCACTGGACTAAAAAGTATCTTGAGATAATTTAAGACAAGATTATAAACTGGCCCAGACTTTTTTCTTTTTTCTTTTTCTTCTTTAAATCTCTGGAGCAGTTTTTAAAAAATTACAGTAACAAGTTCTAGAAAAGAAATGTGTTGCAAAAGTTATAGTAAAAGAAAATTAAGCCCTGGCTGGTATGGCTCAGATGGTTATAGCATCATCCCATGCAGTGAAGTGTCACGGGTTTGATTCCTGATCAGGCACATAGCCAGGTTGTGGATTCAATCCCTGGTTGGGGCATGTATGGGAGGCAATCAATCGATGTTTCTCACACCAACACTTTCTCTCTCTCTTTCCCCCTCTCCCTTCTTTTCTCTCTAGAATCAATGAAAAACATATCCTCATCCCTAGCTGGTTTGGCTCAGTGGATAGAGCATTGGCCTGTGGACTGAAGGGTCCCGGGTTGGATTCTGGTCAAGGGCACATGCCTGGGTTGCGGGCTCCACCCCCCAGTGTGGGCCAATTGATTCTCTCTCATCATTGATGTTTCTATCTCTTTCTGAAATCAATAAAAATATATTTAAAAAATAATATCCTCAGGTGAGGATTTTTTAAAGAAAATTAAATAGGAAGAAGAGTATACTTCTGAAAATTCATCTAATACAGAGTCATTATGCTAGACGAATGACAGCATAATAGAATTTCTGGGCACATTTGAAAAGGGTACCCAAGCATCACAAACTCAAGTTGCAGTTTGCTTCAGTAACAATAGCATGATTATCACTCTCATGAGAGAGGCTCCTGTGTCACAGAAGCCCCTAGTGAATTAGAATATCTTGAAGGACTCCGGTGAAATCCACTTAGGCCAATGAGGATGGAATTTAATTTGTGAATCCTTTTTTCAGTATTCATTACTAAATTGGGAAGAGAACCCAGTGAGACTGGTAAACTATTTCAATACTTCTTTAATAATGCTCTGAATTTATACAATAGTATGACTAATTACTGTGGCTGCACGATATGCAGTGGTTCTTTATTCTCCCCACCGTCATTAAGGCAAGGGCAGAAGTAGGAATAAAGTTTCTCCGTGAAATTACTAAAGAAGGTGTAAATGTGGGTCATGGTTTCAGCATTGTAGAAGGACACCTGCCCTCCTTCATAATCTAAGTATATGCCCACCTTGCAAAGGTCGTTAGTCAGCTTCAGACTGCAAGAAGGCAAATCCAGAGCTTTTAGATCATTTTGGTTCCTTAGTCTTAAAAGCCAGAATCCTTGCTCAGGAATTAGAGGACAGCTGCCTTTCCGAATGATGGATTCTCTGACAACGCCAACTGTCCACTTTGTCTTCTTTGCTACTTCTACTTCCCAGTACCATTTTCCAGATGTGAAGCCTTTTGAGCCCAGCACAGCCACACTTGAGTCAAACCTCTCTGGATCATCGGGCATTACCTGCTTAATGTCACTATGCCACACACTGGTTCGGGTTTTGGACAGCACCAAATTTGGGTGCGCGGTTTTAGGGTCCAGAGTTAATGGAAATAAGCCTAGTAAGAAAATAAGAGAAAGCAGGACATGGGAGAAAAGGGGTGAGTGCATATTCCCATAGTAGAAGTCAGTGTTTATATAAACACCAATAATTTCTCTTCCCATGCACATATATTCTTAGGCAGGTAATTACTTACATATACTTGTTACTGTTTTGATATCTATGTGGCTATATTCTAGACATTTTTACATTTGTGATAAAAATTAGACTGCACTGTGATGCAATTTATTCTCTAATAAAGAAAACAATACAAATAATATAAATCTGTACTAGTATGTGTCAGAAAATACAAATGCTGAAGAGGTAACACTTAGGTAAATTTGTCCTAGGAAAGCTTTCTAAGGACAATAACTATTTCCATTGTGATATAACATCTATGAAATGTATTCAGGATGCTTTGGGTAAACAGAGGCAAAAAAGCAATGGGTTAAAAACAAGTAGCTTATGTGGGAGAGAACATAATGGCTTGCCTGTTAGAGTCAGCCAAGATCTAGCTAACTGATAGAGTCTTTAGAGGACAATGATAAGTTTATATTTGGTTTCTTAGATAATGAGACTTTTGAGATCTAGAATGGTTTGCCACTGCTAATCAGAATGTGGTCCATAATCTGTGGACCCTACTGGTGCATGATCGGGGCCAGGGAGGGACACAGGAGGTTGGCCAGCTGGGGAGGGACCGCGGGAGGGCTCCAGGCGTGTCTAGCCCATCTCGCTCAGTCCTGATTGGCAGGACCCCAGCAGCAAGCTAACCTACCAGTCAGAGCATCTGCCTCTTTGTGGTCAATGCATGTCATAGCAACTGGTCGAACAGTCAAAAGAACACTCGGAGGGACAATTAGCATATTAGGCATATACTATATACGTGCTTTTGGTGTCATTTTAATAACTCTTTGCTGAACCCTAGGAAACAAAGGTCTTCTATGCTGTCTTTCAGAAGTTTTATAGATTTAAGTTTACATTTAGATCTATGTTACCTATTGTCTCTTTTACTATATCTCTTTCTCTCTCTGTGTGTCGCGCGCGCTCTCTCCTCTCTCTCTCTCTCTCTCTCTCTCTCTCTCTCTCTCTCTCTCACACACACACACACACATTTCTGTCTGCTACATCCTTTTCATGCTTCAGATGTTCCTCTTTTTACTCTATTTCCCACACTCACATCTTCCCTACTTAGTGAAACTTCTCAAATGAGTGACCTATTCACTTTATTACTACCTCATCCAAATCACTCCTGGAATTCTTCTCCAGAATCATTCTTTATTTTCTAGTCCCCCCCAGACCTTTGTTTAGATATTAACAATTTTCACCTAGATGGCTACTGCAAACTCTAAGTTTGTCTTCTAGTCTCTTGGGATTAGAAACAATGTCTTTTACTTCTCTGTGCTTGTGATGTGTTCCCAATAAAACTTTACTTACAAAACAGGCAGCTGTATTTGCCCCAAAGAAAGTAAAGCACAAATATTTGTAAACAAATGTTATGCAAATTTATTGATAAAAGCCATAAACTAGAAACTATGCAAATGTCCATCAATTGGTGAATGAATATGCAAATTGCAATGTATCCATAAAACATGATTACTGATACATGCAACAACATAGGTGAATCTCAGAAAGCATTATTCTAAGTGAAAAAAGCCAGACACAAAAGACTACAGAATATATAATTCCACTTACATGAGATTTTAGAAAAGACACAAGTGGAAAAGGCATTTAGTGACTCTCAGGGGTTAGGGATAGAAGGAAGAGATTGACTGCAAAGGGATACGTAGGAACTTTTTAGGATGATAGAAATTTTTTATATCTTGATTTTGCAGATGTTTACATAAGTATATATATATATCTGTCAGAACTCATCAAATTGTACACTTAAAATGATGAGTTTATATCTATGAAGTTTGGGGGTTTTTTTGCTTAATCCCTTCACCTTTTTTACTCAGTCCCCTAACACCCTCCCCTCTGATAGCTGTCAGTCTTTTCTCTATATCTTTGAATCTATTCCTATTTTGTTTGTTTATTTTGTTCATTAGATTCCACATATAAGTGAAATCATATGGTATTTGTGTTTCTCTGGCTGGCTTATTTTACTTAGCATAATACTCTTAAGGTCCTTCCATGCTGTTGCAAAAGGTAAGTTTTCCTTCTTTTTTATGGCTGAGTAGTATTCCATTGTGTGAATGTAACACAGCTTTCTTATCCACTCATCTACTGATGGGCACAGACAACAGTATGGTGATCACCAGAGGGAAATGGGGGCTGAGGGAAGTAGAAGAGAATAAAGGGGGAATAAATGGTGACAAAAGGAGACTTGACTAGTGTGGTGAATACAGTAAAATGTATTATAGAATTGTACAGTTGAAACCTACATAATTTTATTAACCAATGTCACCCCAATAAATTTAATAAAATTTTAAATGATGATTTTATTCTACGTTAATTATGTCTTATTAAAGCTGTTTTTTAAAAAATATATTTTATTGATTTTTTACAGAGAAGAAGGGAGAGGGATAGAGAGAGATCAATCAGCTGCCTCCTGCACGCCCTCCAGTGGGGACGCGCCTGCAACCAAGGCACATGCCCTTGACCGGAATCGAACCTGGGACCCTTCAGTCCGCAGGCCGACGCTCTATCCACTGAGCCAAACCGGTTCGGCAAAGCTGATTTTTTATTGTCAATTATCTGGAAAAATTGTTAACAGGAATAGATTTGTGATTTTCATTAAGTCAGTAACTACTACTAATAATAAAAAAGTTTTTAAAAACTGTGGTACATCTACACAATGGAATACAGACAACTGCAAAAAAAGAAAGAACTCTTCCTATTTGCAAAGGGAACTGTGA